ACGCGGAGGCGCCTTTTTTTTCCGAGGGACTGCCGGAAATGGCGTCGTAATGACCGCGATTTTAATATTTTTTTTAAAGAGATGTATCTTTTAAATAAAAAAAATCATAAAAATATTTCATTTTTATATGTAAAAAACGTAATTGAAAAAATGCTGTTTTTGTCCGAGGAAACCCATGTAACCCCTTAATAGCTTCATCAAGAGTGAACTTTAAAACTGCCCATAAGTGGCCCTATATACAGACTGCAGAATAAAATTGAATAAAAAAAAATAATAATAAGTGGTCTTATAGTTATAAGTTGAATTATATTGGAAATCTGGTAATTTCTAATACATACTTCAAAATCTTTATGTCAAACCAAAATAAATAAAAATTATTTTAAATATCATATTTATAATTACTCTTAGCGTTCGGCAAACTTTTTAAATTATCACCCCGAAATATTACCCCTTGGCAAAGTGCAAAATCGAATTCGTCTCTCTTTAGCATTTTTGATATTAGCATCCCATGACAATTTTGAAAAGAAAACAATACCTAGAAACAATAACTAGAAATTTAATTTAAACATCATTAATGCATTTTAACAATGTAATACATAACAGTAACATGGAGAAATGATGTTTCATGTACGATACAATTTGTTCAATATTGGAACTTGCGATTTTTAACTTGTGGTTTAATAAATTTCTGTTCTTATGTTCATTAAGTTGAATACTAAGAGGTCCATAAAGTAGCAAATTAAAATATATACTTTTTACTAATTAAAGTTTCTATTTCATTTGGGATGATTTACCGCAGCTGTGCAGCCGTTAATTTATTTTTTTCGCGTAATTTATAAATGTATCATTTAATACCAAAATTAAAACGCTTTTACGCTTTTTCACTTAAGAAGGTCCAGTCTCTTACAAAACGTGTGAACGAAGTTATAATGTATAAAAAATATAAAATAAAAGTTTACTCACGGTGTGATGGAAAATTCTTTTTTCTCGATATCCAAATCCTTTGGCTTTCCATTCCTCTCCTGTTTCTGAACATCTTCGACCAGCTGCAATGTTCCTTTCAAATGTTCGTCTTCGAGATCTATGCCATAATTTGTTTCGCCCCTTTTTCCGAAATTCCTATCTTCACGCATTTTGTAATTAAACAAACTGCAAAACCAGAATTAGAAGCAAAATGCTCGAAGAAATTTTCTTTCCAAGAGAGATGTCCGATCCGAGTCACCTGCAGCACAAAGAAGCAACTGATTTGAAAATGATATCACATATCACATTCTCTATGATTTTTCATATTTGCACCGGGCAAAGATTTTCACGCTACATTACACACAAATTAAATCAAAACCACAAACTGACAATGAAGTAAATTAGAATCTATCATTAGGAACTAAAAAAATCTGCTGGAAAATTTAAAGAAATATAAACATTTTTATCAGCGCTTATTTCAGTTTTCAACTTGCATGTTTCTTATCTTAATGTTATGGAATAATCTTCAGACGATCTAATAAGTTCACATTTTTTGGCGTTTTGCTCAAAACATATGATAGAAACTAACAGTATAGCAATAACTGCCAAGTATAAAGGTAATAGAGGGCCATATATTTTAATAATATGATTTTGATTGACATGCTGAAGAATTAGCATATTAATATTAAACTAGTGGGGCGCATGGCATCTTGCCTTAAGGCAAATTGCTGGAACTTCCCGTACCAAAAATTATTTTTTTTTTAAAAGACTAACATTTTAAAAAAAAAATTATTCCAAAAAATTAGATTTTTGAGAAACTATAAATTTTTGACAAAAATTTACTTTTTTGAAAAAAAGGCTTTTTGAAGAAAAGTGTATTTTGAAATATTTTGGAAATTCTGAACTTTTTTTTCAAAGCAATCGTACTGCTTTAACTGCATAGAGACGAAATATCGAAGCGCGTAAGCGCCTCGCCGCAGTTTAACGGATGAGCATTGGTACGGAACCCATAGAAATGTAAACAAAATTTATACTTATTGTTAAAATCTCTGATAATTTGATGTGCATATGTCTAATGATCATTTTTGACCGCCAAATGGTATTTTTTTTACTTCTCCGAAACCGCTAGACCTGCCTTCATGAAAATTTGATCAGTTCTTCATCTTGTTAATACAAGTAAAATGTTTTTTTAAATTACTCAAATCGGACGCTCCGTTCTCTTAAAAACTGACTTACCGTTTTTGGCACTTTTGCCCCATATCTTCGGAACGACTGGACCTGCCTTTGCCAAAAACTAATCACATCACGTCTCCTTAACAATACGAATCGAATGTTTTTTGAATTATTCAAATCGCTTCATCCGTGTTCCCGAAATCGTCGACGAAAATTTGTATCCGAACACACATACACACACGCACACACACACATACATCCATTTTTTCTAAGGTATGCCAAAATATTCAGAAACTTCTGAAACGTTAGATATATAAAAAAATTCATTTTCGATTTTTTGCGATTACTATTACTTACCCTACGGGAAGTTAATTGAAGTATAATAATATTTAATTAATTTAAAAAAATATTAATTGAATTAATATTAAATATTAAATTAGTTGATAGTTTTTGATTAACTTGTAATAAAATTATGCATAACTTGTAAGTTAATGCCTTATAATGTATATAAATTCAATCAGATTTGTACCAACAAATACAAATTAGTACAGGTACTGATCTTTATGTAAGAAATTAATATATGTATTTAAGTCAAATAAAGCAAATTTTCAAATTAAAAAAAGTATAGGTACAAATTGTACCAAATATATTAAAACTTCAAAGAATTTAAAAATGGTAAATTTGTTTAATTTAATTTCTATACCAAATTATCGTTCTATACTGGAATTATATCGATTTATATTAAAACTAGGCATTTGGCATTTTGCATTAAGTGTAAATGAGAACATTTTATGATTGTGTCTTTGTAAGTGCTCAAAGGCGCCTTCGAACTTTAATAAGTTTTTATAATTAAACAATGTTACGTAGGCTTAGAATATATAAATTTGTTTGTTAAAAAAGTGTATAGATTCAGAATTTCATTATAATGATCAGAAAAAATTAACAATTAATTACGAAGGAACTCTTCTTTACCAATAACAATTCAGCACCATTCCAAAGTGATATCTTTCAAGAAGTTGTTAAATTATCAAAATCTTTCAATTTTTTGGCAAAAACGTTGACAAAAGAATTTGCACTTATTTGCTAATTATAAAGAAATTATTAGTACAATCGTGATGCAAAACTATTCAACTTATTAATTCCTTATCGAATTTCATCAAATGGCTTTTAAAATCGGAGCAGCACAAAAGGTTAAATTAGGGATCACATAAATTTTACAATTTTCGTATCAAAAGATTCAGATTGACTTTAAACGTCGAGCAACAGGAAAACAAACTTTTATCATAATAATATTTAATGTAATAATAAATATTTTATTAGCGTTATCTTGAAAAAAAATGCATACTTTATATTATATTTTAACTTATGATACTT